AACCAATTTATCCCACAACACGGGAGAAAGTAGGGTGTGTGTTTGTCGGAAGAAAAAAAAAGAATAAATGTTTCTGCTCGTCTGCAGAAAGAATGCTTGATTTTTGTTATCCATGTTGACGATACGTGCTGTACAAAACATTGTTACAGTGTATTTCAAGAATTTAAGAATTCTAACCAACATTTTAAATTGATTGAGTGAAAATTGAAATGGAGCCAGGAAATCAAAATGAGTTGTTGCAATATATTGAATGAGTTTAGGAGTCCAACCAAACACGAGTGAAAATAAAAAAGTGCATGGGGAAAAATAAGCGTTACCATGTATCAATAGAATTTAGAATTTCAATTAAAAGCTTCAAATCGGTTGAGTAAAAATTGAAACGGGGCCAGGAAATGTTCAAATTAGTACTGTGCTAGTACTACTTTGTTTGAAGAAGCAAAGCGTTGTCCTCCTTGCGTTGAACGAAAAGTCAGCCTAGAAAGCGGAAAACAAAAATCAACCAACGAACGAGAATTCTCCAATAATTTAGGGTGCCCAACAAGTTACCATTCATTCGAAATCAATCAATTTGATTTGAGCATTTGACAATATTCAGCATCGTATTCAGATACAGTATTTTTTTCTTCGGGGTTTTCCATCGGAATATTTGGTGGTAGAAATATCAATGTGTGTTGTTAACGATCAACTTCAGAAAAGCCGCGCATATGACCATTTTGTTATACTCGAACTTCGCCTTTTTTTGTCTTCGTCTTTCGCGTTCTTTTGACAAAAATCGATATTTCTTTTGCTTGATACTATTTCTTGATGGCCCTTTTTTTTATAAATCCGGTGGGTTTGCGTTTGAGTATTTACCTCGTAAATCGATTCATGATCTATGATATCACAAATAGGTTGCGAAGAAATGTACATCCTAGTTTTAAACCTTCAATTTTTCTCTTGACTCAAAGTTTTCACGCCTTCAGATTCGTAAGGAAGCGACGCTCTCGTCAGTCATGACGTTACTGTTTGCTCTCTGTCGTGTTGGGCAGGATGCCTTTTCGGAGGTATCTTCTCTATTTTTTTCGGGGAAGCAATTTCTTTTTATTCTTTTGGGGATTCCTTTCTGTGGGTTGCTAACTTGTTTGCTCTTTTCTTGCGGCGTGTGTTTTTTTCTTTTGTCGGGTTGCAAGTTCCGTACGCGTGCCATACCTTTGGGTACGACTTCTTTCTTCTTTTTTTTTTCTGCGCCTGCTCAGCAAGAGCGAGCAAGCAAAGCAACTGTGCGGGAATGACGAGAGCGAGAGACGAAAAAGTTTCGTCTGGTTTGAGGATAAGTGCAGTCATTCACTGTTCCTGTGGTGCTGCGTTTCGCGTGTGGTGATGTTCGGAAACTTCCGCTTTTGAACGATTTTTTTTATTTATTTTAAATCTTGACAGTAAGGAAATTCGTCGTGTTCGGATTGCGATGCGTAATGCTTTGATCTTTTTTTGTTTTGTTGGTGGAAGGGAATTTCGTCGAAGGCACGGACGTGGTTTCTGTTCTCCGGCTCGATTTCGTGGCGTGAATATTATTTGGGCACTGCACTTTTTAAAAACTTCTTTTGTTTGCGTGGTGGTTTGTGTCAGAGAAAATTGACTTTTGAGATTCATGTTCAATGGGAAAGATTTTATTTAGATTTCAACCGTGCAATTCTTTGACTTCGAGTTGCTTGTTTCTTTTCGGACTTCGTATTCGTAGGGGTATTAATTTGTATTTATGATTATAAAATATTGTGTTTCCAAGTTGGCATAGAAAAAAATCTGAGTTGTCAGGGTTTATCCTGTTCACGTGATTTCTTTTGATTTTGAGTTTCGGTAAAAATTTGAGTCCCATTCGTTCTCATTGTTGTTAAATTTCCGCACACAAAAACTAAAAAATACTGTGGTCTTGAGATTCTATCCACGACCCGAGAAATTTAAAATGTTGACTCGATCAAGATGGATTCGTAGAAACATTTTGGAGTTAGCATACTTTGCCATGCTCATGAGTTTACTGAAAATTTTAAGTAGATGCGTGTTGATGAATTTAATGGAATTGACGCTATTTTTTTCTTCCTGTCTTGGATGACGGATTAATTCTGCATATGTATCTTCAATGTGAGCCTATTCGTATTTCGACATTTTCCTGTGTTGCTCAATGCAAATGTTACATTTGTAATTCGTTTATCTGAGAAAAATTAATTCCGGTGACGAAATTGCTTCCCGGCTGCCGAAATTTTTTAGGTCCTCGTTCTTTTCGAAGGATTTGGATTTTCTTTTCTATCAAATATAAAGCACACATTGGAAGTTATTCAGATTCGTGCGCATATTAAAGCTATGCTAAATTCCCATCGCGAAACGGTTGGTAGTTTTTACAGTTATGATCCGAGATTTCTGAATCCGAAAATACTTGTTTCAAAATGTGAACCATATTTGAAGCGTCTTATCGAAGAACTTCCGTCTTTATTGGATCGCGGAATCCTTGAAAGCACGAGCAACGTGTCGTGCGCGTTCTCAGTTAATCCCTGAACTTTTCGTTGTATGTCCTTTTTTATACCTGGATCAGTCTGCGAGTACCGATCAGTACTTTTTCCTGTACCTTCATTGCCAGTCGTTGATTGTAGCCCGTTATGCCGAGCTCGGTTTTGTTACTAAGCGTGAAGGGAAGTAAGGCGATTCCGACGAGTACTCTTTAATGCGTCGCGGCGAAATATTGGGATTTGTTCTGATTCTCAGCCCTCTTTTTGGAAAGCAGTACTACGAAACGTGAGCAGTCACGAGTAAGTTCACTTCCCTTTTGACTTTCCGGGTGGTAGCATCCTGTCGCTTTTCCACTTTCATCTGAAAAGTGCTTTTTTGTGACTTTTTTATGGCTTTGGAAAATACGGAATTTATTTTAGAGCTTGGCGTTTTCTTCCTTATCTTGTTACAATACCATCAATCGCCCCGAAGATGCTTCGAGTAAAGTATCTGCCGTTGCCAAAATGAATACGAGGATTGCTTCAAAAGTTCACTCATTGGTATCGTAATGAAATTCGTCAAATTTCTGAATCCTAACTTCTGACCGAGAATTAGGATCCGAGTCTTTATGCAACTTATGGAATGAAAGACATGGTTTGAAAAAAGCTTCGATTCAGGACAGGTGGACTCTCTCTCCGACAAAATACAAGGAACCAGAAAAATATCGTTGTGAAGAAAATTTCATCGCAGATAATCCCGTATAACATGGGGAAAATCCTGTGGGACATGACAAAATCGTCAAGAGACAAAATCATCGTAGAAAAGTCCGCCTGTATAAAATAATTTATTTCAAGCGCAGCCTAGACGTGAGCAAAGTCTTCTGTTCGCCCCTGATCATTCTCCAATTCAACAGGCGTGAGCAAACATTTTAGCAGTTTATCGGAAATACTGAAACATCAATTCGGCAACATTACGTCTGTGTTCTTCTTCAGAAAAAAATAATAAAAAATAAAACTTCCAGCGGGAGGAGAATGCTGAAAATGTTTCAATACATACCAGGGATGCGTGCTTGAATGTCCTTTGGGTCTTTGAGCGAGGAAGTACTGTGTATCAGTTTGATGATAGATTTAAAGGCGATTTTATTGATGCATTAAGGCTGTATTTTTCTCTCTCGCGAAATGGTATGATTTTGATGTGGAAATTGATCCCATATCAACTTTATTGCCGCAATTGCCCTGTGTTCATCTCGTGTATGTTCGGGGGCCATGACCCGAGGTCAATGGGATAGGAAGAGGTCGTGAGCTTCTTGTGCATCAACGTGACTTAGTTCAACCACTTTTCGAGGCAACCGTGTTTTTTGCAGTAGACCATGATGCGTTCGCCTAGTGTGTGTGTTGAAGCGAAACTGCGAAGTCGTATTTATAGCAAAATTTTCTCTAGCGTTTGTATGTTTTGGATTTTTCCTCTCTCGATAAAGCTTTGGTTTGAAATCGCTGAAGTGTTTCTTGGCTTTTCTTTAGAATGCAGTCAAGTATCGAGTTTCAACGCTTGGATTTGTGAAAAGTTTACGGTTTCAGAATCCCTTCTATAAATGAAGCATGATTTCAAGTTTATTCAATCAGTGATCGAGAATTTGAGTCTCCCGATCTAGGATTTTCCAAGTGAAAGTTCCTCGTCGATGTTTCACAATCATGTGAACTTATGATGCAAAAAGAAGCCTGCGGAGCTTTTTGTTTTCGAAATGATTTTTCTTCCAAATTTGTTCCCTCTCAATTCGTTGTTAAATCATTGTAACAGGCTCGTAAAATTTGCATAAAATAGAACAGATTGAATGTTTAAAGTTTTATAATTCACATTATGCTGTAATTCGAATTCAAGGTATTCGAACGATATAAAACGCGGAGTTCGCGGACCGACAATTGCTGCCTTTTTTCTTGATTGAAAAAGCTTCCGTATTTAAAGTGCTGTGCCACGAACCAAAAAAATGCCTGCATCCTACGTATGATTCCGCTGTTGCCATGAAAAATTTCGCCCCTTGCGATACGTTTGATGGGGAAAATCGAGTACGGTTTATGATTCTAAAACCTGAAAATGAGATTTGAATTTTAAAAGTAACTGAGTAATCTGATCGGAAACTTATTTTGACATAATTTTCCAGTGATATACTTGTACTATGGCATATTTGTCGAAGTTCCAGTAGCTGCTGTTTCAGGGCTTTTAATCCAGTTCACTTATTGCTTCAAAACTTTAATTTTAATTTTTCAACTCAGTCCGGGAAACTGGAATTACTGTCGTTGGGCTAACGACCCCCCCCCCCCCCCAGTTATTTTAAATTTTTGCGGATGCGGATTTTTGTCGGGAAACTAGTCTATTAAAAAATGAAAAAGTTGCAATTTGAATCACAGTTTTCTAATAATTTAGTATTACTGATGTTGCGAGGGAAACCTGTGATATCTTCTTTTGATTAAAGCTGGGAATTCCGTGCCTTCAACCGAATATTCAAATTCGCATCGCGCTTGAAAAATCTGATCTCGCTTTCTTTCAAGACTGACAAAACTGAAAATCGTGGTGCTTATGATTCCGCTGGTGTTCTAACAAATTCGACCCTGTGCGATCTACGTTTCGATCGGGATACTAAGCCATTATTCGAAAGAAGAAACAAAAAATAAAAACAAACAAAAAACTGGCACCATGTCCCTGTGGCTGGTTTCCGATTCGGCGGGCCGACGTCGGAAGAAGCCAACAGCGAAACCCGATGCGCTGGGCGACTATTCCCTGGCAACGTTGCCCTCCTACGTACCCGTGTACACTAACGTGTACCCGTACAATCGCAGCATGTCGGGCATTGAAAGTTCGTCAGCAACGAAGCCTACTACTACCGCTACTACTACGACACTCGAAACGTCGAGGACTCGCACTTCTGCCTTGAGCAGATCGCGTGATATCTATTCCAAGGATTACCAGTACAAGACGCCGAGTGCCGGCGATCGGGAGGAGAAAATTTTTGCGTTGCGAACCCTGTGGCATCAGATTGAAGACCATGTGAAGAGTATTGAAGACATGGTGAGTTGATTGTTGTTGGTTTTTTCCCCTCCGTGAGTCGCCGATTTTTATTTTTAGAGAATATCTTGTTAGACGAGTGGGTTAGCCGCTGTTTTTCTTCGGGAAAAAAAATGTCCCGAAACTTCCAGCTCATTTTTACAGTACTGTACGCAGAAGTTTCACCTATGAGGGATATACTCGAAATAATGTAATGTCCTCAAAAAAAAATTGTTGAGCATTGAACAGGCTCACTTCCGGCTCGGAATATTTCTGGAGTAATTTGCCTCAAGTTATTCTTCATTTGCATGTGAAAAAGCTCGCGGGATTTGTTGCAAAATGTCTCTACCGATTTTTGCGACCTGTGCCGCTTTTCCGGCATGTTATAAAGATATCTTTGAACTTCGAAGAATACCGTTTCATCGTGCACGTAGTCCACTTTTTTCTTTGAAAATTTCTTGATAAACTCGGGTGCGGGACGCACTCGAGAAATTCTAGCAGAGACTGCAGTCTCATATAAGCTATTTATATTAAAAAAAAAAAAAGCCTTTAAACAAGCCAATATCTTCTACAAGTCGTTTTGGTTTTTTCGTGATCATGTTCCACTTCTTGATGGAAGAATTCGTAGCTTTCCTCTGAGCATAGATCGTATATCCTCCGAAATTTTTCCAACACTTATTTTTTGTGTCTGTCTTGTTCGCACCTCTCCCCGAATATAACTGCTCAAAATCCAGCTGTCGTCTGTATGCGCCTATTTTTCCCCAGTGCGTAATCTCATCCGTGAGTTGGCATCCAACAAACTAGTACAGTACAGTACCACTTATTTTGGTTGAAAGGCGTTGAAAGATCGTTTCGGTTCTTGGGAACGCATTTATCTCCCGTTGAATGCTCTGTGAGACCGAAAAGTCGCATTAGTTTATGCGGAAGAGCTAAAATGAGGATTTAAGATGGTTGACGTTTATTCTAAAGAAAACTGAATTTGTGAACTGTTGACTCATTACTTTTAACGTGTAGGGAACCTCAATTAGGCGTAAATAATGAAATAATTAACGTGGCTCGAATATTGGAAATGACGTACTTAAAAAATGAAGTACAGCTTCTAATATACTGTACAGTATTGTATATGCAAGTGCAGTTTTTTTCCAGGTATTATATATTTGGGTGTTTATGAAGAATTTCATGTCTTCAAGGTTCTAAATAATCCTCTAATCTCAAATCAATTAATCAACTGGATAGTAAAGGCTCCACTGACGATACCGTTTTGTGCACTCTGTACGATACTCAAAGCTGACTTCCAAGGCTTGCTTGGATTTCGATTTTGGAGTATCGCAGCATTTGTTTCATTTTCGAGCTGAAATGTCGTTTCCTACATAAACGTGAAGCATCACTCAAATCGGAGGGTTGAGGCATTGTAACATCGATCAGAAATGCGTATTGAAATTTGGCTTGTTTTAAAGCTCTGGTCAGCCGAAGTTTAGGCTGATGCGGTTATCGTTCAGCTTAATTTTCCATGTTTATCCGAAATGCCATTAGGTGAATTCGGATTATTTTAAGCATACCCATGTAATGCTCAAAATTCCTCATTGCATTCCGATTTTTCGTACTACAGTACTGTACTGTAAATGTTTACGGGCTGTCCGTCCGTAAGGGCGTAACCTGGCCCATGTTACGTCCATACACACAATAATCTGTTTTTGCAGTTTTCCGTAGGTGTCGCTCGTGTACATTTCGGAGGGAATGTCCTCATTTTCAAACGGGGGGCTTTGTTTTTCGAAGTTCCTTTGCACTTCGCTCAGGGGCCAACAGCTTCTTCATCGTAGGAAGAAGCGCGCAAGCTAGAATTGCGTTGAAATACTGTATTTCATATCGTTAATGAACTTCTGAAACTTCGTTTTGAATTAATATCCTTTCAAACCGTTTCCTCCCTTTTGCGAATACGATGTGTAATTTCGATGCTTCAAGCGACGGCTTGGTCCAACCTTGAATTGATTTTCGTGATCAGCAAACAAATCATCTAATCACGAGCCTGTCTAGCAATTCAAACTTCAAAATATTACTCTCGTACCAGCGTACCGGTGCATGACCATGTCTCAAATTGCCATTCGTCCGCGCGAATAGCAAGTTGAGCACGGCTGATCTTCTGAAGACGATACGGTGTATGATCAAATTTTCCCCTCGATATATGCATTTTTTTTAATCCATGTTCTGCCTCTTTTGGGTGCAATTTGCATTTTGAGAGCCCTCGGGCAAATTATTTGTTTGCGTCTATCAGAGACCTGGTGCTCATTTTTGTGATACTAATTCTTGTTCACATCACATATTTATTCATATGCACGCTGATCGATTCTTCTGTCTCTTGTGTTTTCTCCATTCGATTACAATTCTCCCCATCAGGATATATTCTAGGATGTATTCTGATTGAATTGCGCTAGAAACATGAGCGAGTTGAAGGTATCCTGTCTAGACTCATCAACAATCTTTGTGACCATGAAACGAAAAACCGCTGTACCAGAGCTGAACTTTTGTCGTTTTATTTTTGGAAAGTTCACTCTGGAAGTAAAGTACCGTACTTCATCTTCATTTTTTCTTTCAAAGCTGCCAACCGGGTATTTTATCCTTTGGATTGCTTTGCGCTTCCCATTGCACCCAGGTGTTCAAAGCCTCCAGTTTCCCCAGCTGTGTTCATGGTACTCTATTACTATTACCTGTGCGAAAAACCGCGTCGCGTATATTTTTCTCTGACAAAAATCGAGTTCCTCTTCATCGGAATGAAGAAAGAAAAAAAAGAGGCTCGTACGTTACGAACTGACAAGAAGCTGACGTCTAACTTGGCTGGTTGCCCGCGTGCGAATTCGTTGGCCTGCCTGCGATTCCTCACTAAGGCGACGGGACTTGAAGCGTCATTTCTATGCATCTCAACGACGGTTCTGCTGGGGAAATAATTGTACGTTACTTGTCTATTCCTCTGGTATTCATTATACCTTCTTGTTATATATCGCAAGGAAGTTTCTAAGGTGGGCGTGTGGTCGGGGGTCGGACCACGGACATGCACAAATTTTTCCTTGTTGTTGTCTTTTTGGTGTTGCGAATTAGGTGCTTGGGTGTCCGTGTTTCTGTGCTATAACGAGGAACAGAGCTGCTGTTTCTTTTGTGGTGCGGAAACTTGGAAGCACTGAGAGTTATTTGCAGGACCTGTGTTGTGTGGATCAGTCGTCGCGAAACGCCCGAAGTACGAGGGTATTTATAGAAAGCTTTCGGACTTGTTGAAAAACGACATAACTTGTAAATGCGTGCTTTGGAGGAATTATATTCTCTGGGACGAGCCACGCGTTTCAGGTCTGTTTGGCGGTGATTATAGCTAGTTCAAATGCGCTTTTAAATCTCGTTTAAAGTCATTTCTGATAGAACGACGTTTTCAACGATTCGCCTTCATTTTTTTCGGATGCTATATCGTGGAGAGCGTTTCGTGTTCGAAAATGACGAATGACACGCAGCTAGAGTTTTACGAGTTTTAGCCGCGTTCAGTATAGTTTTTCGATTTTGAAAATCAATATTTAAAACAGTGAGACCCCCACATGCGGACACCTCGACATGGGGACAATTCGACGTAGGGAAATTCATTTTTCAATAAAAAAATCATTAAAAAGGCCTGACATACGGACACTGACCCTACATGATGACGTTGCATGATAAAATTGGCAAAAAAAATTCAGGAATATTTATTTTTACTAGGCTCAATTGCAAGAAACAGATATTTCCAACCCTAAGAATTATGCAAGAAAAATGCTTTGGTACTTTTCCCATCACTTTTCACCCATTCAACCAATTAAAAAAATTACCTATAGCACAGATGGACTTCCTCCTCTCTTTGTGACTTTTTTTTACGGATGCCAAAATTTAAATGAACTGTACAGCGGTATACTATTCAATGCTCCAAATGTTCTTATAGGGTTGAAAAGATATTCACTGAATCAAATTCAAGTTGCAAACAAATTTTTTTCATGGAATTCTGTAGAAGATTTATTCCATAAAACCCAAATTAAAAATTATATTATGTAAGTCTATGGGAAAACGATACTCGACTTAGGGACAATTCAACTTAGGGACACTCCTGATGCACAAATTATGTCCGCATCTGGGGGTCTCACTTCTGGAATCATTCGAAGGCAGGAGATTAGCTGTTCTGTCTGGTCATCGAGAAAAAGTATATTTTTGGCACACATCTTGAGTAGGAATTTGGTAATTGGTATAATGTTCTGTCAAGAAGGAAAGAAAAAGGCTCTCGCATTCTTTCATTTCTTTAAATACCGCATTTTCTCGTGTAGGTTGCAAATTTCTGGCTTGGAAAGATGTCTGCATAGCTGCACACATTTTTGAAGAAAGATTCTCTTTCGCAATTTTGCCATCGTGTTTTTCCTTTTCAAACCCGGCGTTGAATACTGAGGTTTGCCTTTGATTTGGGTCGATGGGACTGTTCAACATAATGTGCATTTTGTATACCTTTTATAAAATTCTGTGTAATTTACAGTACTGCACAGTTCAACATTTTGACATTCGTAATTTGTTCCGGGTTATAGGGAAGTATAATGCGCGACAAGAAAATTGTTTTTGAAGTAACACAGCGCCCACACGCACAAACATTTCTACTGTGTTTTGCATCGTCATCGTGCACTGCATTTTAAGTAATTGTTGCTAAGAAGAAGTACTGAAATTACAAGCATATTTTGCGAGACGTTATGAATTTCCTAATGATTGAACGCGCGATTTCTCACGCGTTTTGGTTGTACTGTGTTGTACAGTATTTGATTTTTTGTAATACTGTAGTCAAAGTTACATTTTTCTCGGTTTTTCCCTCACATTCCCGCTTTTATGCCGGGCTCAGTAAGTTAATTATGTGTCCGGAAATAGCTGAAGCTTAAGACGTTATTGCTTTGAGAGCTGAGGATAATTTCGAAGAGTATTCCATTTCAAATGTTTTTCAACTTGACTCTTTTAGTCCTGGACAGCGCGTCACCCGCAAAAATGCAGTCAAATAAAATACTGTAATGTTGAATTTTCGTTTATTTTGTCATAACTTCTAAAAAATGAAAACGTTTCTCTGGTGTTCTTGAAATGCAGTTTTTGTGCATCGTCTGTATGCATAATACGATCGGAGGTGCAACGAAGCTGCGGAGAAAAATATATTTATGCAAGGTCGTCACTGAGAGTTGTCCAGAAAAAGTACGTTACAGTATCATCTTTATTTTTGCGGACTTACTCCTCGGCAGTTGTGATCCTTCCTCACTTTCCAATGAATTTTTGTCTCTGCGGGATTTTATTTTTCTCTCACGAGACCTCGTTTTCTTTTTAGATTGCGGAAACGAGTTAATGGATTCCGCGTAACTCGCACTCACCTGATGCTCAGCCTCCGTGGCTGGGAATGTCTTCCGCGATGTCGCAAGAACAGCGACTGCAAAAGCGCCGCTGTGCGAGTAGAAATAAAGATAACAAACAATAGATTAGTAAAATGAAAATAATATAGAACTGAAGGATAAAAATAACAATGATGGGCACCTAACTTGTTGAGCTCCTGGACGACCGCCACTGAGGCCACCGTGTAGAAAGAGTAACTGAAAATGCCATTTGTTTTGATTCAGATTTCGCGTTCGTCGAGTTTTTTTGTTGTTTTTGTTTCCCTGTCATGAAGAAAGTAATCCGCGACTATTCTTTTAGCTGAACCTCTCTATTTTGTATGCCTGAAAGGGACATCTTTACTCGTGTGAAAGTTTTCGTCAACATTTTTCAAGAATTTCTGACAGAATGCCGCAGAGAAAAGCAAGTGTCGTATTTTTTATTCTCGAATTAATTTAATTGTAAATGTAATGACAGATTCTCTCTTCGACGATTCCCCCCCCCCCCCCCTTCGCGCTACTCTGCATACAACGGATTTTTTTTATGGCCACTGTGGGCCTTCTGTCAATGTTCGTGCTCCTTCTCTGTAAACTGTATCCTCTGTTTTAAGAATTATATTTTGGTTCCGAAGGATCGTAATCATTTTCGAGATTTTCTTTTTTATCGAAAATTGAATCTGCAGCAAGGAGTTTGCTTTTTTTTTTACTTCTATCATATTCAAGTTTTACTTCGTTTGGCTTTTAAATTCAAACAACTAATGTAATAAAATATACTATTTTGGAAACTTTTAGCGTGCGTGCATTAGAATTTTAAAATGCTCTCGCGTCCCTGGCTTTTAATTTTACGATGCAATGATGTCCATGAAGCATTTTCTCTGTAAGGTATTTTGGAGGCTACTCTGCATAATTTACCAGTCGAGGAAGCATGAACATCAGAATAAATATCTATAATCTAATAAGTCCTTCTTTGATAGTAAAATATTGTAATTAGAAAACCGCAGTGAACGTGAACCTTCAGTGAAATAACCAGTTTTTTTTTTTTTACTACTCTCGTGGCTTTTTAAAATCTCCTCTCTTCCATCGCATCACGGTTACAAACTGAATCGAATGTGAAACGCCCATAAACTCTCGAGACTCCTGCGGGAATTGGTTTCAGTTTCTTACGAGGCCGTTGGTTTTACTCATTTGCGACAAGTTTTATTCAACCTGATCGACGTCGCCTGTGTTCGTAGTCATTAAAGCAGACGTCTTTCGGTACAGCGCAAGTAGTTCTGGTCGACCGCCGAAACGACGATGTTCCAACAGTGGCCTCGCGCTGGAAAAGCGCGAACGCCGGGAATTCCTGGCCAACGTGCCAAGTCTTCGCTTCTGCTGTGTTTCTTAGTTTCCTCGCTCCTGCGTGTCGTGTAAAAATAACGGGTCCCTTTGGGGTGGCTTTCGTTGCCATTAACGGGTGGATTCGGTGAAAAATAATTTTGAGGTTTTTCACTTATCCACTGCGAGTGTTGACAGGAATATTTTCCATGAAAAAAAAGTAATGACGAAATTCTTTTGAGCAGCCACCGTGAGTGTCGATGATTTTTCCATCAAGGGTGTGTTTGGTTTACTTTTTAAGTGGTTTCAATTTCAAGTGAAAGGCGGTTGACTTGACTGAATTCTGGGTCTTATTCAAAGTACAGTAATAAAATTACAGTACAGTATGATATTGACTTGAGTGTAAGACTCTCTTTTTCGCTAAATGTTTTTCGGTATTAAGCCGCAGATCAAGCACATACAGTATTTGCTTTCGACAACCGCAATCTTACACAATAACAATTTAGGCCTAAATTCCGTTTCCAAAGTCCTTGCCGATATTCGCAGTTTCTGGAAAAAATAACTGGTGCAGTGCAGTACAGTACTGTAATTTGAAACTGAATTTTGTTCGAAGAGATGAAACGGTTGACCGAAGTCTTGTCAGGATCAATGGTATCCTCTGATCTGGAAGACATTAATCCAGTAGATGTGTCTATAGATCCTGCGATGAATTATTTCACGTCTGTAGTTGAATTGAGGAACGCAGAGAAGAGAGGTTCTCCCTTTCAAGGCAAAATTCCCCGTCCTTCTGGAGGCTTTTTTCGCGTTTGCATAGGTGTCGCTGGAATTCTACGTTTTATAATGTATTAACAAAAAGTTGAGTATTATTTAGCTTTGGCTGTGTTAGGTTAGGCTGAGGCGGTGTTAGGCTAGATCCGCTCAATTCACGATATCTTGAGTTATTCTGAACCATCGTTTTCAAATCGGGTGACACCTGTCGGACTTTCAAGATAACGAACGTCGGACTACGCTTTGTGACAAAATCGGGGGAGATCCCCGATTTACATTACCCGGAAATGATTGAGTATCTGAACGTGACGAAGGATGCCTAAATTTATTCTTGGGTTTTATCCCGGAAGTGATGTTTTGCCTGGATAGTTTTGTTTGGGCGACCGTGTAAGAGGCTGGATTTTAAGCGCGGCGGTCTTGACGCAGTGATTTCTCCGATGCTCTGACGGCACTAGTTCCGGGGATTCCTTCCGTGCTGAATGGTGGTAAATTGAGCTTTATGTTCATCGCGGAAACCATCGTGAAGTTGGATTTCTTTCTTCCCTTTGTTTTTGAATTTTTGAAAATTTTTGTGGACACAAATTACTGTTGCTGGATTTATCGAGAGAAGAAAATATTGTCATTTAATTCAAGAACGGCTATCAGGAAATTTATTATTGCATTTATTTCGAGGTGTGATCTTGATTTTAGAGCTCCCTTCGTCTTTTATGCCTGTTATTGGTATTTACGCTGTTCTTGTGTGTTAAATCCGCGTTTTTTGTGGGTAAGTATTTAACCGGTACACGAGTTTATAATTTTATGATTTTTTCCTAAAACTTATTTTTGTGTGTCATTTGGCCTTTCAGCTTTTATCCTCCGAATTTCGTCACGCATTCATGTAAATTTCATGCCGAACTTTGCCTAGTAAAATTGCTATTGAAAGTAGTCTTTCGAAATTATGAAGATCGTCACTTCAGGAATGTCTTTCTTGGTATGCAGTCGACTGAAAAGTTCCTTCGAATTAATTTCGGTCATTTGAACCTGAACTAAATTTGTAAACCTCGGAAATTAATTCACATAGACAGGATTTTTCTGGCGTTTTTGTCCTAGAAAAAAAAGCTGGTTGACTCATTTTCAAATGCGCGTCATCAAGCTGGCAAGGTGTCACTCGTACCCGCAATGTTTCGGAGGCCTGAAGCTGGCATCTGAAAAACTTATGCGTATACAGTACTTCAATGTAATTCATTTCACTTTTTAAGTCCAAAATATTCAGAAGTTAACGTAATTTTCCAGTTTATTTATTTTAATTTGGGTGCGCAATTCGAAGGTTTTTCTTTATATTTCTTTCATTCGAATGAAAATGCAGAGGATTCGTTGAAATCTTCGTAGGTGCATCTTCTGTCTCTTGTGAGTCACACAAATGCTGAACTGCATTTCCCAAATGATGCTAATGATTTAAAATTTAAATTTACCTTGAAAATTGATATTGTGTTAGAAATTCTGATAGAAAATTAGCATAAATGAAATTTTAATTAGTCTGTTTCATGCTTCAATTTTAATCCCAAATGCACTGCATAATTTAGTATTCAGTACTGGTCGGCTATTATAGAAACATCATTGGTTTTGAAAAGTAGTGGAACGGCTGAAAATGTGTTCATCCCATAAAAAAAATATTGCTATTTTTGAACAGCAGTCAATCTTGTGTTTGCCGAAATGTGTACTTCATGTATCATGATGTGATTGATGCTCTAGGGCAGCATTTTGATTCATCCTTGATGCTTATTTTATCAATTTCAAAAGCGTTTTTCACACTCTTAATTGCATTTGATAATTTTTCCTTTGGGGTTCGAAGCGGTGACAGCTTCAAAATACAGTACTTCGCTATGAAATAAGAGCTTCCTTCGCAATTCATGTGTTTTAATTATATTTTCTGGATATCGAACTTTCGACGTTAAATCATCTGGGGAAAAAGATCGCCCGCTCAAGTTCAGAACACCTACCGATTTTCGTTGCCACTTATTCTGTGACGCATTATTTTCGTGGGATGATTCAAGGGCGAATCTTGTTTTACTAATTTTTAAAGTTCACTTTTCTTGGTTAAATGCGTTGCGTAATACAAAAGCTATTGTTGAAAGACTTCTCTTCTGTAAAATACTTTTTTTAAACGGAATTCTGAGCAACTTTTTGCTTGGCGAAGTATTTCGGTACGTGTTGTTTCGGTACGTGAGGATTAAATGCGCATGTGTGCGAACTTCACATCTGGAGACTTCGGTCTTGACATCTGGTAGGAATAATCTTTCCTTTACTGGGATTGCCCTGACGGAATTAAAGAAAGGGCTGCTTGTTTGCACTATTGAATATGCAGTACTTCTGATTTTAGAATAACCTTGGCATCTGGTCTGGTTCCTTTTTCCTCTCTGAATCCGGAGATCTGTCTCGTATCCGGCATCTGTGAGTAATAGCTTACGAATGGTGCTGTTAAATTGAGCCGCAGTTTAGCTGTGAGACGCGAGTCATTCGTACCTTTTGCTGCTTCGGCAAGGAACATTTTAGTTAATAATAACATAACATAATTTCTCTAAGAAATCAAACATTAAGAACTCAACATCAATGCACAAGAGGAATTTCAAGTTTGGAGATATCTTTACCAAGCGTCAAGATTTCACGGGTCCCATACGTTTTGGAATAGAACTGGTTGAAGGTTGGAGCATTTTGCTGCGATCTAATCATCTTTTGAAATTCCAACCGTAGGGAAGAAATTTTAATCTGTTCTTCGGATAATTTAAAATTGCGAGGTTTTTGTAATGAACAGTTCATTCATTCGAAATTAAAACATGAACTTTTCTCGGAAATTGATACCGCAGTAGATTGGTTTTAGATTCTTTACATCGAGAAGCCAAAAGAAAAATCGGTTATATTTTTGCTGCAAGCTCAACTTGGAAATTTGGAATCTCTGCAGCAGTTTTTCCAGAATTCCATGAATTGCCTTGTGAGTTTCCAGTTTTCAGATCAATTCATTTACATTCACTCACGCAACATTAATTCAAAATTGTCCTTGACTTTTGTCGTGCCCCAATTGCCGCCGTGATTTCCGTGTACCTTTTTCTGTTGTGCGTGAAAGTTATTCTTAAGAATTTATTGCGTTCACTGATACGAATAATTGACGTTTAACCTGGCTTTTCTCTTGGTTACGCCGTGATTGATCGGACCTTGTGATTTCGTTCCTCGAGATTCAAAGCTTTTCTTTCAAATTGAAATCCCGATGTCGAGTATCAAAATCGGAACGAAAATTAAAAAGTGTTCATTTTTGTTTTTTGAAGAAAACAAATTCGTTCGCGGTTTTGACTTATGATTATTACTGCATGTGGTGAACTTTCTGCTTCAGAACACGACAATGTAGGAATCAGATTTTTCTATTTTTGTTCCGTTTTTATTTTCCCCGAAACATTTTGTTGGGGTGAGTGAAGGGAGAAGAGTGTAATAAAAAAAAAAATGGAGCGGAACTGGGCAGTTCGTGAACTATTGCCTGTTTTGACTGCTACTACGTCATTGTATGTGAAAAATTTCGAGGGTGAAAGACGACGATGGCGTTTGCGACTTCCGAAAACGGATTACTTGTCGAAACCGTCGAAATATGTTAATACTGCTCCTACGCCTGACACTTACGGCATTTACGATTCGGTGAGTTTTTCCTCCTGTTTTAATTCGATTTTTCTGTCTGCCGAAAATTCCTTCATGACTTGAATGGAAAAATGAGTTTTTCAAACCGAGATACAGTACAAAGAATTATTATTATTTGCGTGTCCTGCCGTACCCTTGAAATGTTGGATACGTATGCTTGTGAGTGAGAGTTCTGCAAAATTCGATGGTAGGAATAATTACGTTTGTGCAAGTCTCTGTTCATTTGCGGAAAATGTTCTGCCTCATCTGCAGCCCTAATTTGGGCAACTTATTGCCTGCGAAAATATGTATCAGGCCAGTTTTCACATTCAGCATAACTGAGATTGGAAAATTTATCCTATGGAACATGGTATCAGATCTGGAGCATTGATACCTAAAAGATTTTTCAGCACATTGGCAGGATATGATCAAATGTTGCTCTGTGAAGATCACGATCGGAAATCCTTCTCCGTCGCACCAAAATCAACAAGGGAATTAAAAAAAAATCGATGAAACGGATGATTTATGAATCAATTGTCGTTTTCTGTTGAATCGAAGGATATCAGTAACTTCTTGAAAAGCCAGTGGTATATTGTGGTGCGATTTTGAGTCATACCATCTCTGTCTTATTTAAATAATCTCCCTTCCTCTTACTACGATCATCCGCTGTAAAAAATTTCCAAATGGTAGATAATTCTAGGTGCGATGATTATTCTTGGAATCTCTGGTGAATCAGCCTTCGACTTCTGGTAATCTTAAATTTATCTAGGAACTCTTTAAATTTCAAATAAGATAAAAACCCGGAAAAAATCGTGTCGTGATGAATGCAGTCCGCAAGAATCCGGCTGGAAGGATTCATCGGAACAGGCCCCTGGTTCGAAATGCGTACTTCCTCGTTTTCGTAATTTCAAATTGCACCGGAAGCCACTTTGTTTGTTGATTCTGTTTGAGATCACGTGCTGCTTGGACAGGTGTTTATGTGTCTAGAGCGAAAGATTCTGTTGAAGGAAGCATTTCTCCAGAAATGTTTCTTATCTTTTTTTCTCATTGAATTTATAGGCGAAATTGTACTGTTTCATATTCATCGAATTCGCTGTGGAAAAATGCGAACTAAGAGTTAAAAGCGCATTCCTTCGAATCAAAATGGATTTTCCGAGGATGTTTCGTTTGACTCACACATTTGTGGTCTGTCCCCCCCCCCCCCTCGTTTTTTCTCTCCGTTTGACATTTAATTCTTTTATTTTTTCGAGCTCGTTTACATGCTGGAGTGTACCATATGTTCAGCGATACTGAAAGGGTGCCCTCGTGTATTGTTCTGGTACGAAGATAACCCCTGGCACATGAAGAATTCACGTGTTTTTTTTTTGCTGGCATCTGGAAACCTAATATGGCTGTCGTAGATTTTTTTTCGAATGGGTTCTCGGGGGCATGGTGCATTTGTGCCCTGCCGAAAAAACTTACTGCGCTGTTATCTGTGTACTGGATAAAGTACTCGTCGTATCTGTCACTTCCGTCAGTTATTCCTGTCGTGAATGTACAGTACCGGAATTATTCCCTGGTGCAAGCTTGCGTTACCTAGAGCCGGACTGGCAGCTTTACGGTCTGAAGGATTCTGACATTTTTTAAATGTTTGCAGTATTTTTCATTGTGCCATTACAATGCTGGAAGGGAAAGGCGTTACTTTTTTCTTTATCTCACTTTTTCTCTGTTTAAATCGGGTCACCGGAAGGTTTCTTGGCCCGATTAGCCGCGCAACGATGGCGCTGACGAATCGTGCGATTTGTCGCAGATACTTTTTCTTTTTTTCCCACTGCTTGGGGGGAAAGGAAGCCATGCATGTATTGTTTGAGAAGTTATTTGAGAAAGCTTGTCATTGTTCTGGTTTTGTTGTTCTAATTTGCTGTTCAATTGTTGGCTTTCCGTTTTCAATGTGCTTGCTCTGCCGTCGACGGCTTGTCAAAAACTTATTTCAGCGTACATTCATTGGCATTTTTTGTGGCTCCGTTCATTGGACTGTTACATTTTTGCTTCAAGAAGGAATTGATGAAGGATTTTCAGACTACAGTATGTTGCACAGTACAATTTTCAAAAATGTGTTTGGCCTTCCTCGCAGAACTAAATCTTCGATGTTTGTTGTTGTCAAAAGAGCTGCCGTCGACGGGTTCTCGGAAACGTATTCAGTGATACATTCATGAGCCGTTTTACGGACGCCGTTCATCTGACTGTTTATCGAGCAGCTTAAGATTTATTCTGTACTTCCATTGCTAACGAATGAAAGGCTTCCGAATTATTTTGAGCCATTTTTCATAAGGTTTTTTTCAGCCTATATGCAGAAATAAAATCTCGAGGCTTGTTGTCAGATGTGCTACCGTCGATGGGTTTTCAAAAACGTATTCAGAGTACGGTACTTTTGTCAGTCTACTTTCATCAGAATTGTCGCGAATCTATTCTCTCGTATAGACCGTGTTAATCGAAATTCGTCTGGTTTCTATTTCAAATAAGAGACCAATTAAGTAAATCCCGGCTGTTTTCTGCCACTTTCAAAATATTGTTCAGCCTTCGACGCAGAAATAAATCCCCGATGTTTGTTGTAATCGAACGTCGCGTTGGAAGAATATATTTTTCGAGTTTGTGTTTATCGGAACTGTTTCCTCCTTAATGTATTACAGTACAGTACTGTATTATGATTGCCTACTGTCTTCAAATCTTCAATCTCCTGAATACAAGTACACTACAGTTATACTAGTGGAGAATTTTAAGCGTATGCCTTGGAATCATTATACGATACTGTACTACGAACACGCAAATAGTGGTTTTTCGTTTTATGAGCATTTAGATAAAGAACCTTCGTGAGGCGTCAAGTTTATCAGTTTCCGAAGTCTGTGACGTCCCCCTTCATTTGCTGAATTTATCTCTCTGATCCCGCCAGCGTTTGAAATCATAGGGTGGGGAAACGGATGTCAACTACTCATGGATAAATGGGATTTAGGGCATATTCTTGTCGGGAAAAATTTTTTTTTCTGCTGGATAAAAGTCATAACTCAACGTCGACGATGAAGTGGCCAAATTTTGCTTTAAAAATAATTTCGACCCAATGAGTATTTATTTTTTAGATGGCCAAAATTTCTTCTGGGAAAAGGTGATCAGACCATTTTCAACTGAGTAAATGTTTTGTAATGGGGCTTATTTCCGCCTCTTACTCATTCGTAATTTCCCATGAAACCAAATAGTCCATGTGAGAACTATTCGCTCCCGATTTTTTGGTAGCATCAGTTTCATAATGTTGATAGCAACCGAGATTAAATCAAATTTTTTTCAAATTTCGTTCACCTGAAGACGTTTGTAGAACTGTACGCACTCCGAAATACGAAGTCAAATGCTGTAATATGGAATTATTAAATTTCAAGCGACGTTTGATTGGAATTCATCCGTTTGATCAGGCGGGATCTTCGAGTTTCTACTGCATTTAATTTCTCTGAACTCGCATTTATTAGCAGCATGTAGAGTATTTAATAATTTGTTTCCTTCGCAGTTCTGTCAAAATTTGCTCTCAGATATGGATTCACGCAATTTATATGATATTGTATAGGAAATGTGGTTAATTTTCTCTACCGCCAAGTTATTCTTCTGGTTTTTTAAATCCTCATGGGAAGTGGGCGTTTTTAAATTGAAGGGCAAGTGTGGGCATGCTGGTATTCAAAGGATCTCTTTTGTGAGCAGAAAACAAGAAGAATGAGCTTAAGTGATCTCCGGAATCGCACTTGTTCCGTAAAAAATTTTCCTTTGATGCATGGAATCACCCTTTAGAATTCTTGTGAATGTTCCAGTTTCCGATGCCGAAGCTGTCAGACAGATCTGGTTTTTCAATACCGCACCATAAACTTGTATTTTGCGTCGACAGTTGAGCGCAATTTAGTTGTGTTGAAATTGAGCCTTTCGTGTCGAAACTTCACGGAAAAAACCCGTCGTCGTGTTCGTATCATCGACATCTGCGAGAGTCGCTTCATTGTCGCCCACCATTCAGTCGTTTCCCTTCCGTCGGTCACTGCGAAGTGCCAGGGGCGTTGTCGTAGTTGATGGGCACTGTGAAGGATATCCTTGAGCGTGGGTCGATTTTTTGTGGGCTTGTAAAGAGTACCGATAGTTTTTATGCTGCGATAAACGGGGGAGATGATACTGCCAGATGGGATTACGAGATAGTGATTCGCTTCCGCGATCGTCAGACTCGTCGCGAGTGCATTACAGTTTTTCAATGATGGTCATCTGTTCCACGGTGCTTGCGTTGAAGCCGTGGCCGAGACCAGATTTTGAATTTCATTAGATTGTAAAGCTTCTACTGCAGTGATATTTGCTATGTGTGTGTGAGTTTTTTTTTTTTTCGACGAGTTTTTGTCGTAAGTGGGAAGCCTAGATGGAACGAACCCCGATCGAAGCTTCGCAAACTGTGTTATATTTCGAATAACTGGATCAATTCGTGACGGGAGTCAGCTGCAATCGTTTATTTTTGGTTGTTTAGGAAATGAATTATTATTTTCCTGTAATGAAATACGAGCGACTGCGCTGCTCTGAAGTTCGTCTGAATGTCTGACTCTTTAATGAACTTGGTCTTAATTTTGAATATCCTTAAATCGATTCGTTGTTTGCTTGCCCCGACAGACTTGACGTGATTGAGCAAATGGTTTTTGAGACCATGTAAATTCGTTGTTTTTTTTTTTTTTTTAAATATAAAATCGGGAAACTTTTGCGCATCATTCAGTTTAAATTATTGAGAATCTTCCATCAGTCTTCGCTCTTTAGAAAATAAGAGCTTGCGCTGTGTAGTGAATAAATGCTGATCTGTTTCATTTGACCAAATTACTGGGGAATTTTTTGACCATTACTATTTTGCAGTGTTTCTCTTATGCATTCCATAATCTCTCCTTGTGTAGATTAATTTACGTACAGTATTTGACGACATGAGTGAGTCGCAATCGTTACGAATCTTCGGAGAATTTAATTTGTTTTTGTCTTTCGCGAATTAAATCTTACATGCTGTACTGATAAATTGTTATTCTGTTCCCTGTAACCGCGTTTTGAGGTTACAGGATTTTAGTTTTCCATGTTCCGATGGATATTCAAATTAGCTTTTCTTTCGTGAACTTGTTTTTGACATCGATCAGTTACAAGACCGGAGAAGTTGATTTCGGGTAAGAAAACGAAGGAAATTCCTGCTCATCTCCGTTCAATGCGGCCAAGTTCTGATAATTTTTCAAGGTTTTTCTTTTTCTCTAATCTTGTGTTCGTGTTCTATGATTTTGTTTCCCGCTTATAGATAAATTAAATATCCGTAGAATTCTCAAGGGCATATTCTTCCCTTGAACTCTTTCGAATCTCAGAGCATTCAATAATCGGAAACCGCGAAGCATTTTTTGAACTGCAATTCTTTTTTCTCTGCGTAATTGCGAAGGAATTAAAAAAAAAAAAATCCCACGCACAAGCTAGTGATGATTCCGTTGCAGG